ATATATATATATATATATATATATATATATATATATATATATATATATGTTTCGGTGCACTTATTTTTACGATTTACGGGCGATTCGGCTGATTTTTCCTATTTTATTATATTAAAATAATCACGAAATACATAATATTCATATAATTCTTCTTTATTACGTCAAATAGGTTACAATTGTTGACCCTAACTATTACATCGTAATATTAATGTTTAGCCAGAAACGCGGGCGTTACAATGAAGGCGACAGGTATTTTATGGGCAAGTTTTTGTAGAGTATCATAGAGAGGAAGAAAGTATTAGGGTTTTAGATAGACAAGGGGTAATTGTGAAATGAGTTGAGATGGGAGAGCTTGTTTAAAGGAAAAGGGAGGTTTTGCATGCTAATGCCAACTTATCAAAATAATGACCAAAGGAGTGACAAATTGTTGTTTAAACTTATATTAGAATATTACATAATGACAATGTACTTGTGTTATATCAATATAATATCAATATGGTGGTGGTGTTTAGTTTCATTTCAAAAAATAGTTTCTAGAGGCGAATAATTTATTTTCGCTCATTTATCAAAATAAAGACGAAACGGATATTTTCTTTCGAATATATATATATCTTCATTCAAATAACATACGACGAGCACACTTGCCAAATAGAAAAGGGCTGTAAAGGTATTTTGATTAACTGAGATAATATAATCTTCAGTTTTCAGGTTTGGTTACAAATCATATTTTCTGCCACAGATTGTTGACCAAAAATCTATATATATATATATATATATATATATATCTTTTGTTTTTGAAGATTATGTTTCTGGTTTTAGATATAATAATTTATTATAATTTCTAAAATTTGACATTTTTAATTGAACAATGACATTTTTTTAATTAACAAATGCTATCAACTAATATTATTTTCCATAAAATCTAAATTACTAAGTTTTAAGTTGTCTATTTGAAAATAAAAATTGTCATTGATCATATCAAACCAGTTAACTTATAAACATTAATCGTTTCACATTTTTAAGAGTGAAAACACAAAATTGTAGTGAGTTATTGTTATCGCCTTTAAATCGACTAAAATAATCTCTTATCATTTTTCACTTTTTGCCCTCTTTTTTTAAATATATTTTCCAAACTTTAAATTTAGTTTTTTGCAAAATTTTGATTTATAACAGTATATTAACTTTATTTTGGTAATTTTTTTATCAATCAAATTAATTACATTTATAGTCGACAAACAGAAGACAAATTATGATTTTTATATATTCCAACTTCTTTGATGTTTTAAACTTTCAAAAATTATGCAACAAATTCTCTCAAGTTAATAGTTACTTTGC